TCGGGACAGAGAAAATGTCAGGAGTTTGGAAGTATTATAAAATTGAAAGCGAAGGCAGTGTAACAGCCAGATGGAATGTTTGCAAGGCGGAGGTTCCGCGTGGTGGAAAGAACAGAGCTACGTTCAACACGACCAATCTAACACGCCACCTGAGAAACAAACACCAACAACAACACGACGAGTACACAGCGGCCACTCAGGTAACGGCACTGAAACAACCAACACTTTCAGAAACTGCCCCAGAACAGTGAAAAGGCCAAACAAATAACAGCCAAGATAGCTGAATTCATCGCGTTGGATGACCAGCTGTTATCCGTTACCTTTTTGTTCTCTTAATGAATTGCATAAAGATCGGATCGGGAAAAATCGGTATCGGCAGATTGTCAAAATCAAATGATCGGAATCGGATCGGGAGCAAAAAAAGGTGATCGGGACATCCCTACACGTAGCTATTTTAGTTACATCTCAAACTACCTAAACTAGTTATAGATATGTTTAGTTTTACTGTCGGGTCACTCATCATTACTGGATCCGCGAGCTGCATGATACTGGCATAATAGATTGCCCGATCGGGCAACCAGCAGGTGAGGTTTCATTGCCCGAGCTAAATACTAGATGGCCCAGGGCCATCGGGCAGTCCTTAATGTCGAGCCCTGGTTTGGTATTTAAGCAAAAAATGTCACAGACATGTTTTGAATAGGTATGGCCCTAAAATATATTTTTCTAATATCGCATAGTAGGTCCACTTTAAATCAAATTGTGTCATTATGATTTTATACAGCACTGTTGATTTACTTTAAATATTAAATCCAATACAAATTAATATTGAGTTATTACTTTAATCAGTGGCGGTTCTAGAACATTTTACATGGGGTGGCAAAGGGGGGGCAAGAGGTCATGCCAGGGTGGCATGGGAGGGCGGACAGTGAGTGGTATTTGATACTGTCTAACCTATTTATTGTTAAATCATGCCCTAACACAAGTGTAATGCACAAGAGAAACAAGGTGTTCAGACAAACAAACTAAAATATAGTATAAAACAGCAGAAAATACTCATGATACCCTAGAATTCTGTTTACTGTAAGTACAGTAAAAGCACTTAGTTATAATTAAGTACACAAATGACATCACCCATCTCTTCAGAGAGCTAAAGGTGACCTGTGCAGCAACACATTTCAATAAATATGTGTCAATACTAAGAGCCGCTAGATTGTGCTGCTGTAATGGAATATGTAAGGAGAATACAAACATACCATGTGGTCCAGCTGGAGTTTCATCTGCCTCCTGATCCCTGCCGCTGGCCCTCTTTCTGATACTTCATCTTTATTCCTCACATACATTTCTTCTTCTTCACTAATGTCTTCATCTCCTCCTGGCTTCCTCCTGGTCTCTTCAGTGTACTCTCTTTTCCTTTTCCTCTTTCTGTTCGTCCTGATCACTTCTCAGATATGTATTTTTGTTGTTGTTGAATCACTCCAGCTACTCTGGCCTGCAAGAGTCTACTTGTGAAAAGCACTGGTACAAATGCTTGTATAACTTTACACGTTAGGGCCATGTAGCTAATAAGAAGCATAGCCTATAATAAATAGTATTTATCAAGCGCACACAGGCAGCTGCGTTTAGATCCAGTTTGGTGGTAAAGAATGTATCCTGGTTTAATTTATCAGGCCTCACTGATGTGATGTGTAATATACGTGGATTTAATAGTACCACATAGTTTAGCAAATAAAGTGATCGATCTCCCAGCTATCGCTGTCTGCGTAGTATTTTGTAACGTAACAATACTGACCACATAACAATTGGCATGGTCAACATTTTTAGACAAATGGCTACATAGTATGATCATATCCTACGAACAGTTTTTTTAGGGACAATTAGCATTCTTTATAATGTGTCATGTAGAGATTTTAATATTTTTCCATTACAACTAGGGATGCTCCGATCGCCAATTTTGGGGCTGATCGCCTGAATCAGTATCGACCGATACTGATCGCCGATCCGATAGAGTGGGGGGCTATGGGGATCTTCCATTTAAAGCAGGGGTGGGGAACCTCCGGCCCCCGGGCCGTATACGGCCCGCGAGAGCATTTGGTATGGCCCTCGAGGTAATTTATAAACACACGCAAAAAAGAAAAAAATTAAAGAAATCTAGACCGCAAAATAGTTAAACAAGCGAGTGCCTGTTTTTCCTGGCAACGGTCATGGTCCTTGAACACAACACGAGCCTAACGTGTCATCACGTGGTATATGTCTCGTCTGACGGGGGTGCAATTCTGACGGAGAGCACCAGAACGCCGCTCCGGGACTTCAAAAAATGGCAGTACCCATAAGTCTGTACCGGTCCGTACACATGCTGCAGTTTTTGCGTGGCTGTGTCTTTAGTTGAAAGCCCAGTGGCGATCTGTTCATCTGTCATCCTGATCATAAAGTCAATAACTTTGTTGTTATTAGCATCTGGCTAGCTAACGAATATAAGAAGCTTTTTCCACAACCAGTGAACCACAACCCCCCCCCCCCACACTTAAATCATGTCCACATGGATAGGAAACTAAATACATTTGCACTAGGGCTGTCCCGAATACCATTTTTCGGGTTAAAAAAAAATAAAAAATCTCTCCGCACCGGATATTCCAATATTCGCTGCTGATTACTACCGAATATCCGGTGCGGAGAGATTTTTTTTTTTTTTTTTTTAAATGTCATAACACGCTCCGAGACACAGCAGAAGCGCAGAAAGAGCATAGGTCTACTATTACGATGTATATGTATTTATTGTCTCAGTACTCGCATACATTAAAACTAAATGTGTCCTCTGCATTTAACCCAGCTGCAGCGCAGCGCCCGGGAACCAAATCTGGTTCCAAATTCCGTCTATAACGTTTTACAACCTGAAGATACAAAACACATATTTCATATTATAACAACAATACTTTTAATAACATAGGCCTAACAGGGTAACACTTGTTACCGATACAGTAAACAGTATTTAAATAAATGAAGAACGAAAAATAAATAAACAAACTGTATGCCAATAATTGCCTTAGCCCCAGATGTTCCCACATTGCTCTTATTATTTTCACTATTCGGATCAAATTGAAAAACTAATACAAAAAACAATTTGGTTTCTTGCTTGCAACTATTTTCCAAGTAAAGTAAGTGCACGATTTTATCATGTGTAACGTTACTGTTTAAACGGCGGATAAAGCAGCTTCATCACGGCAACTTGACAACAGCTAAGCTAGGCTAGTATTTACAGCATCCGGTGACTTTTCAGAGTTGTTGTGCCACCGGCCAGTTTCTTGTCGCATATTTGGCACACAGCACACTGCCTTCTTCTTACCGTCGTCCAATTTAAAATGGTCCCACACAGCTGAAGTCTTCGGCATTTTGTGTTCAGGTGTGTGAAACGAGGTGAAGCGAGCCGTTTGCGTTTGTGAATGAACGCGATGTCAGGAGCACAGGCTGAGATTGTATATATTTCCGCATTTTAACAGTGCAATTCAAAAGTATAAATATAGTATAAGAATATGGCAATTCGCCTTTATTGATAGCATACATTTAGGAAAAATTTTTAAATAAATTGAAACAAAAAACAAAAACGAATATCCGAATAATTAAATTGAAACCCGAATAGTTGGCCAACGAACGAATATTCGAATATAGCCCTAATTTGCACACATCTTGTGTCCATATCTTTCTGTTTGGTGATCATGCCACAACCGTGCACGTACATGCATGCGCGAGTCATGGCAATATATCTGGATTAAGAGGTTGCTTTTTATTTGCACAGCATGAAAGAAAGGCCAAATGAAATGGGCTGTGATTTTTAAGCAGAGGTCAATAATTTGTGCGGCCCTCGGAGGATGTTGAAAAAATTGAAATGGCCCTTGAGAGGAAAAAGGTTCCCCACCCCTGATTTAAAGTGATGTTTAAAACTCAGTTAATGGGGCTCATTCACTGGAGCTTCCACAAACAACAACCAACATAATTATTACATTCAAATTAAGTACATTATTCAAGTGTGCATTAACTTTGGATAATAACACGGAAGAAATGAGCGGAAGCGCTCTCTTTTCCTCTCTCCTGAGAGGAAAAGAGTCCATTACATGTCAATTGTTAGAGGCTTTTATCCAAAGCGACTTACATACATACTCAATACTGTGGGCAATCCCCACAGGAGCAATTTGGGGCGAAGTGTATTGCCCAGGGACACAACGACATGCTGACTGCAGTGGGGTTTGAACCTGTGACCCCCTGTTCCGAACACCAACGCACAACCCACTGCACCACACGCCTCCCTGTCCGTCTCATGCAGCTCACTGATAAAGTAATGAGTGACCCGACAGTGAAGAATAAATATATGTATAACTAGTTTAGCTTGTTCCAGAGGTAGATAACATAGCTAAGTGTGTTAGGTCTAACTCTTAGTGTGTGTTTTGCTCCACTCACCGGTCCGTCACAGCGGGTGGAGCTGCAGGATTTCTGTCTTTTTCGGACACCTTCAAATATTGCCAGACTGGTGAAACCATTTTGGCGAGCTTGTGTCATGTATTTTACGTCATGTGATATCGCATAAAGTGAATATCGGCCGGTAGCGATCGGCGGCCGATCGGAGCATCCCTAATTACAACCTTATTAAACTCTACGTTATGTGAATTGTGATTAAATAAAGAAGTCAAAATGGTAGGCCTACTGATTATACAATGTATAATGTTAGCATCTTAGTGCTGTATAATGTTAATGTTACATAATGTTACAGGCCAATATTGCTGTTGGTACATCCGGTTACAAAGCCGTTAGCGGAAATAGCATTGTATGGTTTCCCTCATATTTTAAACCCCATTCCTTAGAAATAACTACGTTAGGCTAAGATACTTTATACGTCAATAGCCATGGGCTGTTTAAGTATTCAACAGAACCACCTACTTGTGGCACTAACAGAAAAGTATGTTAGTTAGGAAAGCCATGCTTGTTGTGGATAGTAATGCATCACAACTCACCGCATTGAATAGCTTGATCACGTTTCTCAGAGCCGTCGCTGGGCCCTGGAGGAGGCTCACTTTCTCCGGAAACGATAAAAACAGTTCGTTGATTTCTTTCAATCTCAAACTGCCAGCATCTTGTTTTGAGTTCCTCGTTCTCCGCTTTCATCTTGGATATTTCGACCTTCAGCTCGTCGACCATAGTTTCGAAAAGTTTCGTAGTCTCTGCGATTGCACCCTTTAGCATACCCTCCATGACGGAGGAGTATTTCGTCTGAAAATCGTCGGCAGACATTATTGTATCTTGGAATAGTGTACCGTTCCTGCGAAATTCGATATAAGTCCACTTCTATCAGTACATGTCCTATACCGTTAGTAAAAACACGACATTAGTTACTGCCCCATCATGGCTCATTCCCGTTGTGGTCGAACGGCGGTCTCTGCTTTGAGTGACGCAGGACGACGCATCCGGGGGGACTGAAGATTACATCCGGTGCTACGCTTTAATACCTACAATTGTGTTTTATATATATATACCGTAAGTAAGAAAATAATAATCGGGTGCATGTGTCAGTAATACATTATTGATGTTGCTCTGTTAGCCAAATCCAGACCAGGAAGTACCAGTCTAAAAAACTCCCTTATTCGTAAACTATTAAAATGGTCCCAACTCCCTATCCGTATATTTCTAATACCGGAAGTGCGGTTGTTTACGGATCAAAAGGAAGTGGTAAAGCTTAACGGAATTTGCAACGTTGGATAAGGAATTGAATTACTTTTGCCAACATAGCCAACTCGCACTGAACATAAACATTATTCATGTTATGTATTTATGTTATTGTTTGCTACATTTGCTTACTGCGTGTAGTTCAACATGTGTAACGTTACAGTGGAAACACCAGTGCAGCAAGCTAGTTAGCTAACGTTGGCAAACTACTGTTTGTTTAGCATTACCTTTGGATTGTTATAAGGAAAGCACCCAAACGGGACTTGTGGACGGGCCGACATACGAGTACATCCTGTTTAACGTTACATAGACTGAAACCCGTGTTGAATACACTGGCACAACCAGTTTAAAGAGACCAGCGCTAGCTGACAGCTGCTACTGTACTACAGTCTTGAAGTTGGCACAATGGCTGACACTATTGTCACGTTTCAGTCCCAACTTTCTGGTGTTATGGAGACGGTCTTCAAAGCAGCAATGTATGAGATCACCCGGCTGGTGGAGGACAGTTTTCTGGAAGAGGTTACACGGTGCAGGGAGCAAGTGGAGTCCCTGAAGAGGCGGCTGAAGTGGTCAGAGGGTCGGCGTAAAGAAAGAGAGGGAGAAAGGAGGGGAAGGTGTCTCGACTGCGGGAGAGTAGAGGTGTCCGGCGAGGAAACCCCCAAAGTGTTAGGTGAGTCTGTCTGGTGGTGATACTCGACTTTAACATATACTGTGATCGATACTCAAATTGCTTTGGTGTATGGTGGTTCAAACATAAACACCATAGGGAAATAAGTTGTATTATTCCACTTCAAGTTTTGTGTTGCACTAAATGTTTGTTCCCTCTCATGGTTTCAGTCCCAAAGAGCCGACAAACAAGTTTAGCAACAAGCTGGTGAAAATACAGAAGCAGTTGGCAACTAAGGAGCCAGATTGCTAAGGCTAATGCTATTCTTGCTCTGAGTTAGCTGGATGTGTTAGTATTGTTTTGGCTGTATAGCAGAACAAGGATGCAAATTATGTATCTCACATCTAATCAACTTCAATATAAATGTTGATTATAGCTATATCCACACCATTAGAAGGCTAACCCATTGTTAGCCTTCCTAAATCTTCCAAACACAAATGGGAATATTCATGACTCAACAATTTAAATAAAACATATTTTTACCTATCTTCTGCTACAGATAAAAGTCTCAAACAGGAAAGTGTGACGCAAGAAGAGATGAGTGGTCCCCAAGAGAGCGATGGAGAGACACAGGGTCGTGAAGCAGACGAGGCAAGACCCGAGTCTCACAGAGCCCTGAAGGCAACACAGGTACAGGGCAGTTTGTCTCACTTGTATAGCTTCAGTAAGTTAGGTTTAAAATGTTTCAGGGGTTAACGTATGTTCGTAACAAATTACTTTTTAGTATGTTGTTTAAATGTTCTGCAATAATTACGAGCATTCTGGCAGTTAGGGAGGCAATTTCATCTTCTTTGTAGGGACATATCCCAAGCCTAGCAAAGACGTGAAAGCCAGTAAATAGAGATACAAATTAGCACAAAAGTGCTCCTTTCTACTGGCAGCGACTTCATTATGTTCTGTTTGTACCACTTAATTATCACAATGCTTCTACTTTACTTTTCTATTGTGAATGTGTACTTGGTGAATTTCTATTTGTATTCATTGTCATACTGTTTTATTCAGGTTTTTATCAATACTGTCTCTTTTCTGTAACAATGTCAATTTTCCCTCTGTGCGACGAAAAAGGAATTATGATTCTGATTAAATGTTTTAGTTTTAAAGAGTATTTATTATGAGCCTGGGTTTTTCCCTTTCCTCTACTGTGTCATATGGTGGTGGTTGTATTCTCCAGCCACCTCCCTTGTGTGTGTTTTTCCCTTTTCCTGTCTGTGTGGGCGTGGTGGCTGTCACTCCTGGCTCCCGGCCCAACCTCCACCTGCTGCAATCAGTTGGGCACCCTCCTCTGCTACACACCTGATTTCCATTAGCCATTTACTAATGGCATATCAGCGGAGGCTCCACAACTTGTCAGCGCCAGATCGTTATTTAACCCCAGTGGTAAAACTCTCAGCCTTCTTAGCATTATTAGCTATTTCCCCTACACCTGAATGTTCTTCTTACCTGTTCTTCTTGTGCTCCAGGATCACTCTCCTGCCGGATTATTCTCCACGCTCCTTCACCTCAACAGCCGCTACCAGCCGGATTATTCTCCACGCTCCTCCACCTCAACAGCCGCCACCAGCTGGATTATTCTCCACGCTCCTCCACCTCAAAATAAACCTTTTTAACACTCTGCCGTGTCCTGCGTTTGGGTCCTCTCGGATAACCGTAACAGAATGATCTGGCCCGTATGGACCCAGCGGACACAGGCCACCGGTCAAAAACTGCGGACGAACTCAGCCAGGCCCTGGCCAATCAAGGCGCTCTCGTGGGGCATCACGATGCGGTTCTCCGTGAAGTAGTGGAGACTCTGCGGAACCTCTCCACTAACGTACAAAGGATCGGTACGCAAGCAGAACTGCTCACCTCACAGTCTTCTCCCCCGCAGCCCGCGGCACAGCCGACAGCCCCTCCCCCCCCCCCCCCTCCTGCCGCACCCCTCCATCAGCTACGAGAGGCTGTCATTCCCACACCGGAGCGATACGCTGGAGATTTAGAGTGTACGTTAGTTTTTGAGCATTTAGATTGGGCTACAGCTGTTAGGGAGAGCCAGCCACAACTTTGCCGGTCATATGATACTTTCATTTCCGAAATGAAAACAGTTTTTGATCACCCGGTACGGGGGAGGAACGCTTCTAGACGCCTTCTTTCTCTCCGACAGGGCTCCCGTAGTGTAGCCGAATTTTCAGTTGAGTTTAGAACAGTTGCTGCCGACTCACGCTGGAATAACGAGTCATTGCAGGCTGTTTTTCTTCAGGGGCTGAACGAAGCAATTAAAGACGAGCTAGCTGCTAGGGATGATCCAGTTAGCTTGGATAATTTAATTGCCACAGCCATCAAGATTGATAATCGCCTCAGAGAGAGACGTAGGGATAGGAATAGCCGTCACTCCAACCCCAACTACTCTTCACTTGATCCCCAAATTGGCACTGCCACTACCCCAATCTCCAGATCTTTCCCGTCTCCTTACTCGGTCTCACCCCCTGGAGATGAGCCCATGCAAGTGGGAAGGGCCCGCCTCTCACCATCTGAGCGTGCTAGAAGGATCCATGCTGGGGAATCTCGTTTCCTCCTGTCCTAATCTGCCAAAAGGTCAGGCTCGTCAGTAGCTGTGGGGATTCTGGCGAGCCTTTCTCTCTCTCCCAACCCCTGACCCAGAACACAGCTAGAAGCCGTGCTTTGCTGCAACCAACAGTCCTACCCCTGCTCGCCTTAGTGGACTCGGGGGCGGATGAGAACTTTTTGGACATTGACATTGCAGCTCAGGCAGGAATTTCCTGCGAAGTGTTAGATTCACCTCTTAATGCTAATGCTCTAAATGGAAAATTCCTGGCCCAAGTCACTCACCGCACCAAGCCAGTAAACCTCATTCTGTCTGGAAACCACCGTGAGTTTATTCAGTTTCACCTAATTTCCTCACCTCATGCCCCCATAGTGTTGAGCCATCCCTGGTTAACACACAACCCCCAGATTGATTGGGTAACTGGCAAAATCATTAGTTGGAGTTTTTTTTGCTTATCCTCATGCCTGCAGTCTGCCCTACCACCAGCAGAGGCTGCCTCTCCACCACCCAAGATCGAGCCGCCTGATCTGTCATCTGTCCCCACTGAATATCATAACCTAGGAGAGGTGTTCAGTAAACAGTGAGCTCTTTCTCTTCCTCCTCATCGACCCTACGACTGTCCCATTGACCTCCTTCCCGGGGCCCCTCTGCCTTCCTCACGTCTGTTCAACCTGTCTCGCCCTGAGAGAAAATCCATGGAGAGTTACATCCATGACTCCCTGACGGCCGGTGTCATTCGGCCATCCTCCTCCCCGGTCGGTGCTGGTTTTTTCTTCGTCTCCAAGAAGGACCACTCACTGCGGCCGTGCATTGATTACAGGGGTCTCAATGCCATCACTGTAAAAAACAAATATCGACTACCCCTCATTAACTCCACTTTTGAACCCCTCCAGGAAGCCACCATTTTTTCCAAACTGGACCTCCGTAATGCCTACCACCTCGTCAGAATCCGAGAAGGGGACGAGTGGAAGACGGCCTTTAACACACCACTCGGTCACTTCGAGTATCTGGTGATGCCTTTTGGACTGACGAATGCCCCAGCAGTCTTTCAGTCGATGGTGAACGATGTGCTCCGTGATCTCCTCAACCGGTCAGTCTTTGTCTACTTGGATGACATCCTCATATTCTCTCGTAACAAGGAGGAGCACATTATCCATGTCAGGCAGGTGCTGCAGAGACTCCTGGAAAACAGACTCTTTGTGAAGGCGGAGAAATGCGAATTCCATGTCAACACAGTCTCATTCCTGGGCTACATCATTGAGGAAGGAAAGCTTAGGACCGACCCTGAGAAGATCCAAGCGGTGGCGGGGTGGCCCAAACCAACCTCAGTTAAACAGCTTCAACAGTTTCTTGGTTTCGCCAATTTCTATCGGCGCTTCATCAGGGACTACAGCAGAGTGGCGGGTCCTTTAACCAGACTCACTTCCCCTACAACTGGTTTTTCCTGGACCCCAGAGTGCGATGCAGCCTTTTCAGAGCTAAAGAGACTCTTCACCACTGCCCCTGTGCTCATCCACCCTGATTCCTCTCGCCAGTTCATTGTGGAGGTCGATGCCTCCAACACCGGGGTAGGGGCAGTTATTTCCCAGCGCTCGGAACGAGACCAAAAATTGCATCCTTGTGCATTTTTCTCTCGCCGCCTCACTCCAGCTGAGAAGAACTATGACGTGGGTAACAGAAAGCTGCTGGCTGTCAAACTTGCCCTAGAGGAGTGGAGGCACTGGCTGGAGGGAGCTGAACTCCCTTTTATTGTATGGACGGACCACAAGAACTTGGCGTACATCCAATCTGCCAAGCGCCTTAACTCCCGTCAGGCTCGATGGGCCCTGTACTTCGGCCGCTTCTCATTCACCCTTACCTACCGTCCAGGGTCACGGAACCTCAAGCCTGACGCTCTCTCTCGCCAGTTCGCTTCCGAAGGACCAGCTGCCAGTCCAGACACTATCCTGCCTGCCTCCTGTGTGGTGGCGGCTGTTACCTGGGAGATTGAGTCATTGGTCAGGGAGGCTCAGCGGGCGCAGCCTAACCTAGGTAACTGCCCAGCTAATAGTCTTTTTGTGCCTAACCCCTGTTCGCTCCAAGGTCCTGCAGTGGGCACACGCCTCCCGTCTCTCGTGTCATCCTGGTGTCCATCGCACACTGTTTATTCTCAGACAACGGTTCTGGTGGCCTTCCATGGCTCAAGACACCAGGGCCTTTGTTGCTGCCTGTACAGTATGTGCCCGCACCAAGTCCTCCCACCAGTCTCCCTCTGGCTTGCTTCGCCCGCTGCCGGTACCTAGTCGCCCTTGGCCGCATGTGGCCTTGGATTTTGTTACTGGACTTCCACTTTCACAAGGAAACACCATCATCCTAACTATTGTGGACAGATTTTCAAAGATGGTACACTTTGTGGCTCTTTCCAAGCTTCCCACTGCCGAGAGACTGCAGATCTTCTGGTCAACCATGTTGTTCGACTTCATGGGATCCCCACCGACATCGTCTCTGACCGGGGTCCCCAGTTCATTTCCCACGTTTGGAAGGCCTTCTGTCAGGCTCTGGGAGCATCGGTGAGCCTGTCATCTGGTTATCATCCTCAGACAAACGGGCAAACGGAACGGGCCAACCAGGATCTGGGGGCGGCTCTTCGCTGTGTGGCTTTCAGGAACCCTTCGTCATGGTGCCCACATCTGCCATGGATCGAATATGCCCACAACTCCCTGTCAAATGCAGCCCAGGAAGAGGAAGTTGCTGTTCCCTCCGTTCAGACCCACCTTCGTCGCTGTCGTAAGGTGTGGAGGGACACACGAGCTGCTCCGCTCCCCGCAACCGTCTCATCGCAGACCGCCACAGGACCCCGGCTCCCAACTACTTACCAGGTCAGAGTGTTTGGCTTTCTTCCAAAGATCTCCCACTCAAGACAGAGTCGAAGAAACTCACTCCACGGTATGTCGGCCCCTTCATCATCGACTCTATTATCAATCCATCTGCAGTCAAGCTCAAGCTTCCCCCACACATGAAGGTTCATCCGACATTTCATGTCTCTCTATTGAAACCTGTTGCCAGCAGCCCCTTGTCTCCTCCAGTGAGTGCTCCTCCACCCCCCCCCCATCATCAATGATCACCCAACCTACACCGTGAGGCGGTTGTTAGACGTTCTTCGCCGTGGAAGGGGATTCCAATATCTTGTGGATTGGGAGGGCTATGGTCCACAGAGGAGAGGTGTTGGGTTCCCCGGCGAAACATCGTGTGCGCGTCTCTGGTACGGGACTTCCACCGGGATAACCCTGGTAGACCTGGTAGATCGCCTGGAGGCGTCCCTTAAGGGGGGGGTACTGTGGTGGTTGTATTCTCCAGCCACCTCCCTTGTGTGTGTTTTTCCCTTTTCCTGTCTGTGTGGGCGTGGTGGCTGTCACTCCTGGCTCCCAGCTCAACCTCCACCTGCTGCAATCAGTTGGGCACCCTCCTCTGCTACACACCTGATTTCCATTAGCCATTTACTAATGGCATATCAGCGGAGGCTCCACAACTTGTCAGCGCCAGATCGTTGTTTAACCCCAGTGGTAAAACTCTCAGCCTTCTTAGCATTATTAGCTATTTCCCCTACACCTGGATGTTCTTCTTACCTGTTCTTCTTGTGCTCCAGGATCACTCTCCTGCCGGATTATTCTCCACGCTCCTCCACCTCAACAGCCGCTACCAGCCGGATTATTCTCCACGCTCCTCCACCTCAACAGCCGCCAACAGCCGGATTATTTTCCACGCTCCTCCACCTCAAAATAAACCTTTTTAACACTCTGCCGTGTCCTGCGTTTGGGTCCTCTCGGATAACCGTAACACATAGGTTTACCATGTAAATGGTCTGCAAAGGCTAAAATCCCAAAGTTCCCCTCCAGAGGGAGTTTCTCTCCCACACACTCCCCCCTGCCTGAAACGCCTCTATTAGACACCTTTGTTTTATTTAGTAAAATAATGACATCAGTATGTTACACTCGCATCTCTATTGGCTAGCGCTCCAACACATTGTACGTGATAGGCTAAGGACATCTCTAAGCGGTTTACCAATCACAACAGAGCCAGCCAACCAATCGGAGCAGACTCGGCTCTGGTTTCAGACAGAAGCACCTGTAGATCTAATATTGTATCTCTCCAGGCGAGTCAAGTTAAACCTTCTCATTAATGTCTTTCTGCTCCTCTTACAGTCTTCAGGTGTACAGGGTGAAAAGCTGAATAGATTGTTCAAGGAGGAAGCCCTTCAGATCACGCCAGAAGCGAATGTGTCTGAGGAGAGATGGGGAGGACATTTGGATGGTCAGTGTTTTCATATTCCAAAGAGAAATGTTACCCCTAAATACAAAATATACTTTTTTTTCTTGTACCTTTTATCACTCAAACTTTTTTGGTGTGAGCTTCAGAGATTTAGCCCATACATATATTTCCTAAACTAAATGTCATACACAGTAATGAATTATTTGAGATATTCCACAGACTTTGTAGTCAGCAGTTTAATCTAGGAACTATTTTTTTTAAACCGTATCACTATGCAGGTGGAAGTGTGCATATACTCATGAACAAGAGGCTTTTTTACACATGAAGGTTAAACCATTAATTGCATCCTCCTTGGCCAAGTGGCATCTAGTTCTATTTTATTTAAGAGAAGGAAGACCTTTATTAGGTTGTTATTCCATCTACATTATATGACATCCAATTACATTTAGCTGACCTTTTTTTTTATCCAGAGCAACATGCAATGAGTGCATTAAACCATGAAAAAACTAACTCAGAAAAACAAATATCATGCAGGTGCATTAGCTACTAATTAGCCAAAAGCATGGTAAGTTCTACTGCATTACAGTAGCTTCTAATAAGCAAAGTGCTACCTGTAGAGGAGAGTTTTTTTTTAAATTAGTATTATTAATCTAGATTGATAAATAAAAGAAGAAAATGTATACAAGTGAAGCACATATTTCAGATTTTTAGGAGATCTGTCCCTGTATTTTCAATCACCTAACATAAGTATATAGTCATTTCTACAGTTCTAGTTTATAGGAAAACTATACAAGATATGTGTTATTATTTATCTTTATTGACTAGATAGATACTACTAGAAATATGTATTTGTGATGTTTGGGTGATATGTCCTTTAATTTTGTATGCATAATTATACAGCTATTTGTTGGAGTTTCTTCTTTGTAACAACATATCCCTAATTGTTGGAAATCCTCTCCTCCTATCAGAAGGACCAGGTCTGCCAGGGCCCAGTAAGCGCTTCAGTGTCCAGAAAACCCCAAAGTGCCACATTAGCTGGGAAACTGGCTACGACCACCAGAGTCCAGAATCAGGCCAACACAGATGCCCAGGCAACCCATCTGAACCGGTTTTACTGAACAGGTATGGCATGGAAGATTATGGTGGCTTTGACAAGACCGGCTATGGAGACTCCAATATGATTGACATGGGTAACCTGGACGGGTTACAAGGGTCGCCATCGCAGTTGGGTGAGGATTCGAGTTACATGGGGCACTACGAGGGGGTTGTGGAAGCACCAAAAGGAGCCGAGCATCACGTTTACCAAACGGGTGCCGTGCGAAACAGAAGGGGCGCGGTCGGTTTAACTGCAGGGTCTCCCTCAAGGACAAACATTGATGTAGGTGGAGAGCTCAGCTGTTTATTGATTAATGAGGAGGGGTATCTACAAGACCAGAGCATTTTGTTCCCAGAACATGTTACTGGTGATCAAGTAGGCAGGTTGAATTTCAGGGGTCAGGGACTTCGCGCTGAACCTTCTTCAGAGGATATATATGCGCCGTCATACAGTGATACCTTAAACCTGGGAGAGAAGCTGCAGCATCAGGCGGGAGGGAGAGGGGGGAGGAGGCATGCTTGTAACCTTTGCTCCATGACCTTCCATGATTCGGCCTTACTAAAGACCCACAAACAAACGCACAAAGACCCCTCACAAGCGCCGCCATATTCCTGCACACAGTGCGGAAAGACCTTCTCGCAAGCTTGCATCCTCAAAGTCCACCAGAGGATTCACTCGGGGCAGGGGCTCCACCTCTGTAGCCACTGCGGGAAAGGTTTCCCGTCTTTCGCGGACCTAAAGATGCACAAGTGCAGCCAAAACGGGGGACAAACCTTACAGCTGCACCGTGTGTGGCAACAAGTTCAGCCGCCTCTGGAATCTGAAACTGCACCGAAGGATTCACACACAGGAGAAACCACATCGGTGCACCATGTGCGATAAGAGCTTCACGCGGGCGGACATATTGAAGGTCCATCAGCGCACACACACGGGGGAACGGCCATACTGCTGCACTGTGTGCGGCCTCAGCTTCAAACGCTTGGACCATCTGAAGTCACATCAACGGAAACATTTGCCGTCACAGTAACCCATCCTATACAATTAACCATTGTTGTTCTCTACCGTCCACCAGGCGCCTTGGGGGACTTCTTGGAGGAATTAGATCATCTCCTCTCACACATCCCTGAAACTGGCCCTCCCGCTGTACTTCTCGGAGACTTCAACCTCCAGACAGGGAAGATAGACGAACTAACATCTCTGTTAACCGCCTTTGCTTTCTCACTGTCTCCTTCCCCACCAACTCATAAAGCTGGCAATGTCCTTGATCTCATATTCTCAAGGAACTGCGCTACTTCTAACCTCTCTGTAAACCCGCTCCACACATCCGATCACTTCTTCATTTCATTCTCTCTACCCCTTTCCAAACATAACAAACTAATCTCTTCTCATCCTGCACCTGTCCGCCGTAACCTTCGTTCCCTCTCCCCCTCTACCTTTGCCTCATCGGTGCTCTCAGCCCTCCCTTCATCTGACTCGTTCCAACTCCTGCCTCCAAACTCTGCTGCAGAAACTCTCCTCTCTACTCTCTCTACTCTCTCATCCTCTCTGGACTCTCTCTGTCCTCTCACATCTCGGTAGGCTCGTCAGTCCCCTCCTGCTCCCTGGCTAAATGATGCACTGCGTGCTAATAGAACCGTCCTTAGGGCAGCAGAGCGGAAACGGTGGAAATCCAAACACCGTGACGACCTCCTAACCCATCAGGCTCTCCTCTCCTCTTTCTCTGCTTCGATCTCTCAGGCAAAAAGCACTTTCTTTCAAGATAAGATCCAATCTTCCTATTCCAATCCCAAAAAACTATTTTCCATCTTCTCCACCCTCTTGGACCCCCCCAAAGCCCCTTCCCCCTCCTCTCTTCTGTCAAGCGACTTTGTTATTCACAAAAAAAGGTTGATGATATTCGCTCTTCTTTTTCTGACTCACCTTTACTCACCACTGGGTCACCAGACCCTCCTTCCACCCACACACTAACCTCCTTTTCCCCTCTCTCTCCAAGTGAGGTTCTTACCCTCATTACCTCTGCCCGCCCTACCACCTGTCCTCTGGACCCTATCCCTTCAAACCTCCTTCAGACTATCGCTGCTGATATCCTACCGTTTCTCTCCCATTTCTTCAACACTTCTCTAACTTCTGGTCACTTTCCAAACAGTCTCAAGGAGGCAAGAGTAAACCCTCTCCTAAAGAAACCCACTCTCAACCCGTCTGATGTTATAAACTACAGGCCTGTCTCTCTACTCCCGTTCTTGTCTAAAACACTTGAACGCGCTGTCTTTAAACAACTCTCCTGTTATCTCCATCAGAACAACCTTCTGGATCCGCACTAGTCTGGTTTCAAGGCAGGTCACTCCACAGAAACTGCTCTCATTGCTGTCACTGAGGAACTGCACACTGCCAAAGTGGCATCCCTCTCCTCTGTCATCATCCTGTTGGACCTGTCTGCTGCATTCGACACGGTGAATCATCAGATCCTCCTTCGCACTCTCCAAAAACTTGGAGTTTCAGGCTCTGCACTTTCCCTCCTCACCTCATACCTCAAAGACCGTACCTACAGGGTAACTTGGAGAGGGTCTGAGTCCGACCCTTGTCAATTAACTACAGGGGTCCCTCAGGGCTCTGTTCTTGGTCCCCTGCTCTTCTCCCTGTACACAAACTCGCTCGGATCAGTCATTAGCCCGCATGGTTTTTCATACCACTGCTACGCTGACGACACCCAATTAATTCTGTCCTTTCCCCGCTCAGAGACCCAGGTCGTCGCACGCATCTCTGCTTGTCTAGCTGACATCTCTCAGTGGATGTCTGCTCATCACCTCAAGCTCAACCTTGACAAGACTGAGCTGCTTTTCCTTCCGGGAAAAGATTGTCCCACTCTTGACCTAACTATCAACATCGGCACCTGTGTTGTTTCCCCGACTCAGACTGCAAGGAATCTGGGTGTGATCCTAGATAACAACCTGTCCTTCACTGCAAACATCGCTGCTACAACCCGCTGCTGCAGATACACGCTTTACAACATCAGGGGGATACGTCCCCAGCTGATACAGAAAGCGACGCAGGTTCTGGTGCAGGCTCTCGTCATCTCACGCCTAGACTACTGCAACTCCCTCCTGGCTGGTCTACCTGCATGTGCCATCCGACCTCTGCAGCTCACCCAGAATGCAGCGGCTCGTCTGGTCTTCAACCTTCCTAAATTTTCCCACACCACTCCTCCGCTCCCTTCACTGGCTTCCGGTAACTGCTAGAATCCACTTCAAGACACTGGTACTTGCTTACCATGCTGCGAATGGATCTGGCCCTTCGTACATCCAGGACATGGTTAAACTGTAAACCCCAACGCGTGCACTACGCTCTGCATCAGCCAAACGACTCGCTGCGAGGGGGACCCAAGTTCCCATCAGCAAAAACACGTGGGTTTGCTATCCTGGCTCCAAGATGGTGGAATGAGCTCCCCATTGACATCAGGACAGCAGATAGCTTGCACAGACTGAAAACTCATCTCTTTCGACTCCACTTCGAGCGATAGAATTATTAACAAAGCACTTATATACTAATAAAGGACTGGCTTATCTATAGCCAGTTGAGTAGCACTTGAAATGTTTGGCTCTATGAAACCTGATGTACTTATATGATTCTGTTTTCTTCAAGGTTGTGTCTTCCTGGTCGAATGTACTTATTGTAAGTCGCTTTGGATAAAAGCGTCAGCTAAATGCAATGTAATGTAATGCGACAGATCGTTAAATCAAGGGACGTGTGGAGAGACTGTTAAAAATTACAATATTGTGTATTTTATAAGGACATTTAAAAATCATTGCTTTCATTTGAGTCATGGATGTTTTTTTTCTTCTCTTCATTGTCAAATGCTTTGTTGTTTTTCTATTCAAACTCATTTTGGTCGTGGTTAAAATATAAGACACTGATAAAATACCCCTTATGTGTACCCATTTATTGCTGGATATGTTGTTCCAGACAAAAAAAAACTACTTTCGTTTTCATAATCATTGTTATTACATTACAGAATTAAAATAAAACCAAAGAATGATGTTGTTTTTTCCCCCAGAAAATATGTTTTTTATGTTTCACTCAATGAATTTACTTGAAAGTATTAATTGTTTTTTGGAAAAAACCATAGGACAATTACATTTTAGGTAATAACCCTGCTACTTCTTATTTAATTGCCTTTATTACAGAATTCCTTAAAGTCTTACAAATTAAAACAAATTTAAGACAGATTTAATGCCTGAAGCTTTCATTCTAATCTATAAACCTATAATGCTGACTATGCAGATGAGGATTTTAGGAACAAAGACACATTAAGGTAGCATGATCAAGATTTAAGAAGTAAGATACATAGTTGCAGGGTTCTTAAATAAATGATTTCTCTAGATTGAATTTAAGTGGTATCTTTTTTTCAGTAGAGCTTGACTCTTTTGCTAGAAGAAGGATGGAAGGTGTTTAAGAGGAAGGAAAGCAATTTCACAGAAGTCAGAGGTTGGTCTAAATGAGTTTTTATTTGTGGCTCTTTTCTGAGAGAAACTATTTTATTATATACATCAAACCCCTTTTCCTGAAAGGGGAAAATAAAAGGAAACAATATTGTGTTTGGAAACATACTTAAATTCTAGTTGGTAATGTTGATTACCCAATTAACTTAAAAGTACTCATGGATGTTGAAAAATGTTAATCAGAACCACATGTGAGTGTGATGCCTCAAAGTGAAAGGAATTCTGAACCTCTATAGATTAAATCAAATATTTATCAAGTTTTGTCTGTTTTTTCTATTATATGTTTGTCAAATTCATCCCAGTCAACACGTTGTGACTCAAAACATGGGCCCAGCATACTGAACAAATACATCTTTAAAAATACAAATGTAACCAAGTGGATAATATAGAGAGTAAACATTTACACTTGTTTTCGCAGCCTTATGAAGAACCCTATCAAATAATTTTAGCAAGACAGAAGTTGTTCTGATTAGAAGTTTTCATTTCCTGACACAGATAAGTCACTCAATGTCAGCAATATTGTCAATGCAATATTCAGGAATTATTAAAAACTAATGTTTTGGGCGAGACATTTTAACCCATTAAAGTTATCAAAATGTGGTAAGAAATGTCAATATTAAGAAAAGTATAGATTCATTACATTGCAGCACTCATCATTTAGTATAAAGTCCAACTTCTTCAAGTTACATTGACTGCCTTGCGCTGCGCAATAATAAAAATAATAATAATTCCATTTTATTAAAAACGCGTTTTGTTATTCACTCAAACCTAAGTGAAGGCCACCGTACTACGTCTTGCGTGACGTCACGAGCAAAAACAAGACCCATCAGTGATTGATGAAAAACTAATCCCGTTTAACGTTTATTACACATTAATCTGCTACATTTAAGACCCAAGGTTTGGCTCGACTATGGTTTATATAATAAGTAGTTGTATTACGTTACCTTATGTTGACAGTGTGCCGCTGCTAGGGTTTATAAGCATACAAATGCTACCGTTAAGCTAAGGAATCACATTAGCTGGCTAGCCTGGTGACCATATGAATTGTTATGAAGGTATTTCGCGTCAGTAAACAGTTTATTGGTCATCGTTAATTCCAAATGTTAACCCCCGTAATTTAATTTATATCATTGTATTGCTCCTTAAGGACAATTATAACAACATCAAGTGGATGTATGACCACTGGTTTACAACGTAAACAACCTGTTGTAGCCATTTTCAAGAATAACAATTCAATTGGGTCTTTACTCCTTCGCTCTAATTATTATTTTAATAAGACACTGGACCCTGATAGCCTACACCATGTCGGACCTGGACACCCTCATTGTAACTTTCCAGACCCAGCTCTCGGATGTGATGGAGACCGTGGTGAAGACAGCCATGTTTGAGGTCACCAGGCTGGTAGAAGACGGCTTCTTGGAGGAGATGCAGCGCAGGAACCAGGAGGTGGAGGCCCTGAGGATGGAGCTGCAATGGGCTGAGAGGAAAATAAGGGACCAAGGAGGGAACACTGGGAAGTGTGTCGACTGTGCTAAGGATGCTGTGAAACTGTGCAGTGACACAGCAGAAGAAATGCCCAAAGAACAACAGGATGGTAAGAACAGACAATCAGTAAAGGAGGAAGTATTCAGATCATAGTTGAAGTACTAATACCAAACTTCATAAATTAACTGGTAAAAGTAAAATCCCTGCATTGAAGATGTTATTTAAATAA